ACCCACTACTTCTGTTAGTCTTAAAGGTGCCTCAGGACCCTCTGTTGCTTTTTACAGATTCAGACTAACACGGCTACCCCTCTGGAACATTAACTTTTTCTTATATTGGCTCCTGTTACCCCCCACCCCCATCCCATTTTTTCACAGTTGCTATCTGGTCACCCTACTTATATCCATCCCATTAAAAACCTCTGGCAATTGCAACACGACACAAGCCAATGCAGTGAGATGTCTTGTTGCTGAGCTCCACCAGCAAAGCATCTGGTGCTTCTACACCTCCCGAAAATGATGAAGTGATTCCTCCATTAGCTTCTCTCCTTGTATAATTGGGAGACACACAGTTAGGATGAGCCCCAGGTGCCCTGAAGGTTGCTCAACAGGACAAGGAGGTGCTCCATTGGGAAAGACTCACTCTGAGAATCTCCTCCTGTGTATCATCCATGATTTCGAGTTGGCGCAGGCGCTCTTGATACAACATATGGAACTCTCCAAAGAGTTGCTTCATCTCAAAAGAGCAACAGGGATCATGGGCATCTGCTTCCCTTTCATCACCAACTTCTGCAGGAAAGGGCAAGTAAAGCAGCTATCAAGGTCAGGTTAATATATTTAAGGTCAGTAAGGACCGATGTGATCATCTAGTACTACAGCCTGTATAACACAGGGCATAGCTTTTGATTGGGTCATTACAGCATATCTCAATTAAACACTTCACATAATGCAGAATCTACCACATCACTCGTAGCTTGTATGCTTAGCCCCACAGGTGTGAGTAGCAGCATGCACTAACCCAGTGATACTCAGACTGAGACTCACAAACCGCAAGTAACTCTTTAATGTGTCTCCTGTAGCTCTTTGCAGCACATGATATTAAAACACTGTGTGATTCAATTATTAACCAATCAGGATGCTGCTGGCATCTCCCTCTGGTTCCTAGGCGGAGGGAAGGCAACAGGGGCTCTGCATGCTGCCCCCAGCACCAGCTCAGCAGCTCCCATTGGTCAGGAACCAGGGTCAGTGGGAGCTGAAGGGGCAGTGCCCACAGGCTCGGGCAATGCGCAGAGCCCTGTGGTCACCCCTCCGCCTAGGAGCCAGAGAGCGATGTTGCTGCTTCCCTGGAGCTGCCTGAAGTAAGCACCGCCTGGAGCCTGCACCCCATCCCATGTTCCAACCTCCTGGCCCAGCCCTGAGCACCCCAAGCCCACCCCAGAGCCCACACCCCCAGCTGGAGCTCTCACACACACCCCCACTCCAACTCCCTATCCCAGCCCGGAGCCCTCTCCTGCACCCTAAACCCCTCATTTTGCCCTCCCCCAAGCCCACACCCCCAGCCCAGAGCCTGTACCCCCTCCCACACCCCAACCCCCTGCCCTAGTCTGGAGTCCCCTCCTGCACCCATCTCCAGCCATACCCCAGAACCCCTACCCCCAGCCAGAGCCCTCACCCCCTCTCACACCCCAACCGCCTGCCCCAGCTCAGAGCTCCCTCCTGCACCCCAAACCCCTCATCTCTGGCCCCATCCCCCACCTGCTGCCTCACCCCCTCTCATACCCCTGCCCCAGCCCAGTGAAAATGAGCGAGTGAGCAAGGGTGCGGGAGAGCGAGTGATGGAGGGAGGGGGGGGATGGAGGGAGCAGGGGCAGGGCCTCAGAGAAGGGGCAGGGCAGGGGTGTTCGGTTTCCTGCAAATATAAAGTTGGCAACTCTGCTGAGGTCTGAATATCACTGCACGAAAGTGGTGCACTGTAAATACCTGCTACCACGAACTAAAGGTACCTAATTCACATTAACAGAGTTCTGGCTCTGAGCCCCGGTCTACACTACAAACTCGTGTCAGTGGAACTACACTGCTCAAGGGTGTGGAAACGCCACGCAGGGCATGACACTAACGCACCCCCCGCCCCAGGGCGATACACACACACCCCGTTAAAAGCCCCCCCGTCACAGGGCGTTACCCTGACGACCCCCCCCCCGGGGCCTGTGACATCGGCCCTCACCTGGGGCGACCCCCGCGCGCGCCGCGCTCCGGCCCAGCCGCTCCATGCTGCTCGCGGGTCCCGGCTCTGCGGTTCGAACGAGGCCGCCAGACCCGCGTCCCGCCCAGCTCTTGACCGACAAGTCCCTCTGCCATTCGCGATGCGTCCTGACCACGACTCCGCCCCCTACCGCGATTTCTGTCCAATCAACGGTCAATGGGGCGGGGCGCGGAGGCAGGCCGGGACGTGCGGCAGTTTCCTCGGAGAGGGACGCTCGAAGCTGCTGGCGTCTGGGCGGTACTTAGCGTTGAATAACAGATGCGTCCCCCAATAGAAGTGCAGCATCTCGAGCATGGGCGAGCTCCATTGGGCAGAAGGAGGAGGCGGGACTATCGGTGAACTGGAGGAAGCTCGGTGGAGAGGACGCCAAGCGTCCGGTCGCTATGGAGACGGGCTGGGGCAGCTCTGTAGGAGGAAACGGGAGCGGCCAGCCGCGGTTCCTATGGTGACGGGGGGGTCAAGTTCCCGGGTTAATGTGTGTTCGGCGGCTGCGGGGAGGGCGAACAGTCCGGCTTCCGGGACAACCCCCCCCCCGGCAGAGAATCCCCCATCCCCCGCCCCTCCGGGACAGAGCCCCCCCATCCCCCGCCCCTCCGGGACAGAGCCCCCC